TATGAGCAAGGTGCTGTAGCTGTACTTGCGTCCATTTTGTTTCTTGCAGTAGGACTGGTGCTGTCTTTAGCAGCGAACGAATGACCCATGTTTTGTGGGCATTGTTCACACTCTCTGGATACCAGCTGTTCAGGATAGAAACTGGAAGATTGGTGGGACGTTGAAGTCTGAATTCAAGGATTTGTCGACATAAGTCCCAAAATTTCCATGGGATCAGTTGCAACATTGCAACATCATTGGGCATAACAGGAGGGAATGAAGGGGAGCTGATAACCTCAGACATATTCCATGTTCTGTGATCTCGGAGAAGCCGTATCAATGTCCGCATTGCATAGTGCGGGTGAAACCCACACGCGGCAATGAAGTCACGTACCTTTATACGTCTGTACGCAGCTTTCGGAGAGAGAAAATGTATCAAAAAGTGTAATGAGGAAACCTGAGTGATCGATCTTCCACAATGTTCACGATAAGATAGCCAGTAATATGCACGGAGCCCTGTCGAGATGGTACGTTGTATTAAACGGAGAGAGCCAATAGGCAAGTAAGCAAGTACAGTCATAACTCCAACAGGTGGGCCTGAGCCCTCTGGAACACAACACGCGCAGGTTCTCCGTAAATACAAACGTAAACACCATCCTCGACTGTTAGGCTCGGACATTCATCAACAGCTGTGTCTTGGAAGATCTGTTTCCCAAATACACGAACATCTTGTTCTTCTGGAAGGGCAGTTTCTGGATGTTGACCTGCATTGCCTAGTGTGGCAAGATAGTCAAACTCACTGCTTGCACGGGCAAGCGCGGTTTGACAAAGAAGAAGGATGCAGTAAGCATACGGGGCATTAGCAGACCAAATGGAAGATTGTTCAATCGGACATAGGGCTTGCGCAGTAGAAGCTAGGACATGCAACTGATGCTCTTTGATGTTGCCTTCAACTAGAATTAGAGGCAATTGCGCAAGAACTTTATGACAACGATTGACGAAAGGGTTGCTATCAAAAATATTAGCCTGGGCCAATGCCCCTTGCGCCAGCCTCCAAAGCGCACATCCGGTTCTTGGAAAGTATGCAGGAAAGGTGCTTCAACAAAACACGTGTGTGTTCTTTTCTGAATAGCCAGGCCAACTACACTTTCAACAACTTTTGTGAAAAAGGTGGCACTATAACTGTACAGGACTGTGTATTCTTTGCAGGACACAGCACTGGCTCGAATCGGCAGCGGCTGCCCTCCATACTTAAAGATCATGATGTCAAGTGTCTCTTTGAGTCGTATCAAATAGACATTGACTGCTTCAGGGGGGCCAATATATTGTATACGCAACGGATTGAGCTTGTAGTCAACTACAAAGAAACCTGTTTTGCAAATAGGGCAGCTCCCTACAATACTCCGCAGGAAGAGAAGGACTCGAGCTAGGACTTTCTGTGAGAAAAGGCCTTGCTGATAGGCTGCTAACAGAGGGGCAAGGCTTGCTCTCCCTAATGCATCTGCTATGGAGCTTGTAAAGGGTAGCCATTGCGGTACAGCAATGTAGTCGAGATATTTGCTTAAGCCAGCTTGTTCAAGGAAGGCTAAGAATTGTGGCGTACCAATGGCTTTTAAGCTTGAGGTAGCCTGATTTCGTTGATCCCCTTGAATTGCTTCCTTGGTCAAGTATGGCGGTGGTATGTTGCCAACAGTAGGTTGTGCAACTAAAGGTTTATCGAGAGGTGACATGACCAGAGCACGGTAGTCAATGTGCCTATATGGTTCAGGTTCAAGCACAGACTTTGGAGAGTGCTTTAATGTCTTGTCGAAATTGAATATAATACTTGCGCACAGTGTCAGGGTGTGCAATGTTGGTTGTACTTGGTTGCCGACCTTCAACCCATTCTTTCAGATCTTCTGGCGTACCAATAGCAATGCCAACAAGTATCGGATGAAACGAGTTGCCAACAAATGACCGGATTGTGCGAGATGTGAGCAAGTAACTAAATTTCTTAACACTTGCAAAGTTTTGGCTGAGGCCTGAGACCTGCAGGACTTCTTGATCCGTGAGAAATCTGAATGGCAAATCAATGCTTTGATTATGAAACAATGGAAGTACATCTTGCAAAGCAAGATCCTTGTCTTTATTGGAAGAGTTCGTAGCAAAGACTTGGAGTAAGTGTATCCAAGCTGGGATATAGATCGGAGGAATGATTGTACTCCATTGAAAGGCCGGAATACCCTTCTCATCGCTGAGATTAGCTTGGTCTGCAAATCGTTCACGCGAGTTCCAGTAGGAGATGCGCCACAAAAGTGCGGTAGGGTGGTAACTTGACCAACTATATCGGAGAGCAAGGTCACTGATTGTCTTGATAGGGCGCATAAAGGGTTGTATATGGACTTCGCGTAATGCACCTCTTTCTTGAAAAAGGAGTGGACTCCAGTCATCCGGCCAAGCCAAATCAGCTGTATGGTGAACTTGGGATTCCTTTTTCTCATGAGAGGTATTGTTCTGAAAGAAGATTCTTAGTCGTTTGGCTGGTGACAAGGTCGAGGTACACCACGTTAAATCAGTTTTCTGGAGATGTTGCAGGCCAAGGCATCCTCTTATGAAGCGAAAGTGTTCAGTACGCATTGAGCCATTTTCAATGAGGAAACGTATGCGGCTACTAGGAATTACCGTTGTCAGCAAGTGCAGAGCAAGATGAACTGTGAAGAAAAGAACACTGGCTGGACCACATATACCTAAGAAACCTTGGTCTCCTCCAGCATATGTAAGATCAGTGCACGGGCTGCCTCCAATAACAAAAAAGTGACAATCAGAGCAGAGGGCAGCAAATTCACGTAGTAGTCTTGCATTGTCAACAAAGAGATTATCAACGTCTTTTGCGTAATAAAAGGCGCCTCCTCCTTTAGAGCTGTGTTGCCATATTTGATCAACAGAGATGCCGTGTTTTTCTCCTACCAAGTACCGCAGCGTTTCATCCTTTTCACAGAGGATGCATGCCTTAGGGCGATAGCCTATTTTAGACTCAATGATATCAACTGAGGATCCGCAGCCATCAAACATGCTCAAGATGGCATATGGGGGCTTGGAAACCTCACCATCTCCCAATGAGCTAGCAGTAGTAAGAGCAGCTTTATCGTAGCCTACTCCACCTTTGCTATTGTCCGTCGTGTAAGGGCCAGGCCTAGTTGGGCTACTGCCAAGTCTTTGGGGAGCTCCTGATGCAGAAGAGGAACAACGACGCGGGTCGCTATTCTCTTGCTGCTTGGCTAGTGTGCTCTGCGGCCTGTTTTGCGATTGGGAGAAAACATCTTCAATATTGTCAATTGTCTCCGTTGGCGCAATAAGTACCTCATCCTCAGAAGGCCATACCTTTCGTCAACATAGGTGTCCTGGGCAGTCTTCTGAGTAGAGATTTCAGTATGATGTGAAGGCTGTTTAGCCAGTGTAGTTCTCTTCTTGGAACTTAGTAGGACTTTAGACCCTCTTAAGTCCCTACGCTTTTGACGCCAACCTTTAGATATCTCGAGACCACAAACCGCACAAGAAGAGAACACGCACAGCGACGAATCCGATCGAACGGTGTGAACACTCACGCTGTCTTTTTCCGCAAAGTCGGACATGTGGTTGTCACTGTTCAGGTCTCTTGTACGAACTGCACGCTTTGCCCTCATGGGAAGGGCGT